CTTAAATGCCAGGCAGGTGGGAGGGAAGGAGGTCTGTACGGGGAGACATTCCACGAGAAGAGGCTCCTGCTTCCACCAATAATGAGGTCCTACCTGCAAGCAGTCTTAAAGGAGACAAGGAGAAAGCGGGGCATTCAGAGCAGGCACAGGGGCAGTGTGGCTGCAACTATAAAGATGAAGAGCAGTGGATGAGATTTTGGCTCATTCATCCCTAAAATGGACCATTCACTCAGCAAGCCTGCAGCCTCCGCATGTGCCTGGCACGATGTCGGGCGCAGCGAGAAGCAATTTGCTGTGGGTCAAGATGTGGAGATTTCCAAACTGACAGATGGCGGGGGGACTTTGGAGGGGAAGCCCGAGGCATTTTTCTTACCAAGATCTGTCCTTGGACAAAGCATATATTATAGGTTTCTCTCTGAAAGATAATTTAAAGAACCTACCCCAAGACAAAGAGAGAGATAAATATCCTATGCAAGGAAGAGAGATTTCTCACATCCAGATATTTTGGTGCCATGCATCTTGCCTGACACAAGGAAAGTTCCAGCAAAGGCAAATGAGTTGGTTTCTGTATCACAGGTACGATGATCTTAACTTTTGAGGTTTGCCCCTCCCCTGTCACCTGCCTGCATAAAGACCCCACCACCACCACCAACGGGAGCGGCGGGCGCGTCCACCGAAGCTGAAGTTGGAAGGAGAGCAATGATGGCTGAGGCCCTGGTGAGGATGAAGGGCTTCCTCTAACCCCATGGTGTAACCACTCAGATGCGATTCAGACAGGGCTGTATCCTCACGCGCCTTCAGGCCCTGCCTGGGAGAGGCCAGTGGGAGGGCATGCATTGTCAGCAGATAAAGTATTTGAGAGCTGTACAAATCCCTTCGTTATTGCTGATGACACCACTCGGTGATGCCACTTTTGACATGTGGGGCCAGATAATTCTTTATCCTGGGGACTATTCTGTGCATTGTAGGATGTTTATTTAGTATCATTATCATCCCTAGCTTGTGACCTCTAGACGCCCTCCAGAAAACACCACCTCCCCCAGTCCTGACACCCAAAACCATCTCCAGACATTACAAATGTCCTGGGGCAGGGTTTACAAAATCGCCTTAGGTTGAGAACTGATAACCTGTGCCAAATGGGCTTTCTCTCGTCCTTCTGCCACGAAGAGTGCTTCCTCTCGTCTCCATCTGCAGCCACCTTCTGCTCAGAAGCACAAAGTCTCTGCGTTGTCAGAAGCCAGGCCTCCACTGAACCCTCTGGAGGCTCCCTGCTCTCGCTCACTCAGAGGATTTTCTTCTAAATGCGCCCCTCCTCTCTTCCGCATCATGAATTTCTCCCTCTCCATTTGTGCGTTCCCCTGGGCTTGCAAACACAACACCTGAAAAAAAAAAATCTTCCCTTTTCTCTGCTCCCATTCATGACAGGACTCTGGTAAAGAACTCCTGTCTACCTCCTGTTCTCTCCCAGTCCATTCCAGTGATGACTGCATTCCCCACTGCTCTCGGGAAATGTTAAAGATTCCAAATGTCCAGGTCCCAGAGGTCCTCCCTATTACCGCAGCCCATGATCAAGCCTGAGTCCCGGTCAGCCCAGAGCTCCTGCAGCACTGGGCACAGGGAACGCACACGCTCCCGCTCAGCTCTGTGCGGCTTCTGCGCATCCTGCTCCATCAAACCTTGGAGGGTCCCAGGCCTCACTTCTCAGGCCCCTTGCCTCTCTTTGCACAGTCCCCAGGGATCTCACTTGGTCCCATGGTTCTAAATATCATTTCGACATTGATGGATTCCAACATCTTATCCCGGGGCTGGACTGCTCTTCTGAGGCCCAGACTCATACAGCCAACTGCCTAACCCTCCATCCACCAACTGCCATAAAACAGAACCCGGGTTTTACCTAAAAGGTCTGTTCTTTCTCCCTCTGCCTTTCGGTAAATGGAACCAATAGCCACCCGGTTTTTCAGGCCAAAACCCCAGTATTCATCCTGATCTGTCCATTTCCCTCAATCCCTCCATCCAGTCAGCAGATCTGTTGGCCCTGCCCCCAATATGTGTCTCAAATCCTTTCTGTCTCTCAGCCCCTCTGCGGCTACTTCTGTGGCCCAAGCCACCAACCCCCGAGCCACAGGCTCCTAAGAGATCTCCCTGCTTTCTCTGCTGCCTGTTCTATCCCCCCTCTACCCGTTCCTGAGCCCCAGCTGGCCCACTTTCTCCCCCAGTGCCACGCCTCCCCCAGCCAGTCACGGCAGTTCTTGCCAGTACTTGCTCTAGGGGTGGGCACGAGACTCCATTCTGGCTAATGAAACCTGAGGGGAGGTCAGCAGGGCGGCTTCCTTGTCCTCTCAGCTCACACACCAGGAAGAAGCCCTCCTCCCACCATACGATGTAGTGCCTGCCTGCGATGCCCAGGACTGTCCAGGATGGCCGCACACTGTGGGCCGCGGGGCAGAAGGAAGAGAGCGCGAGGGCCTGGTGATGTCCTGGACACACGAATGAACCTACCCAGGCCTTCCCTTTAGGGAGATGACAGCTTTTCCTTTTCAGTCAGCCCAGTTTCCAGTCAGGGTTAACGTAGATGAAGATGTCACAGCTGATGCACAGGTTGTCTTTAAAAGCATAAATCGGGCACCTGCGTGACTCGGTTGGTTGAGCGGCTGATTTAAGCTCAGGTCATGATCTCACAGTTGGTGAGTTCGAACCTCGTATCAGGCTCGGTGCTGAGGGCACAGAGCTTACTTCAGGTCCTCTTTCTCCCTCTCTCTCTCTCTCTGCGCCTCCCCGCATCATTCTCTAAATAAATAAATAAACTTTTTTAAAAAGCATAAATCAGACCAGTTTAGTCTCCTGCTTAAAATGCTCCAAGGGCAGGGTATGTGGGTGGCTCAGTCAGTTAAGTGTCTGACTTCGGCTCAGGTCACAATCTCATGGTTCACGTGTTCAAGCCCCACATCAGTCTCTGTGCTGACAGCTTGGAGCCTGGAGCCTGCTTCGGATTCTGTGTCTCCCTCTCTCTCTGCCCCTGCCCCACTCCTGCTCTGCCTCTCCCTGTCACTCAAAAATAAAACATTAAAAAAAAATTTTTTTTAATGCTCCAAGGGCTTCTCATGCAATAAAACCCAAAGTCCCCACCATCACCATTAGGCCCTGCCACCCTGGCTCCTGACCTTCAGCCTCCCCTCTTATCGCCGCCCCCAGAGGCCTCCTCTCTCTCTGCTTCCTTTTCCCTGCCTGTGCCCGTAGCATCACCAGCCAGTGAGGGGCAGATTCCAACCCTCTGCCAAGGCCCAAACCAGGGGCCCCTCACTGACCTTTCCTTCTAGCACATGGAGTCTGCTGAGCCCTCTGTCATATTAATACTCAGTGACCAAAGCTATGGCTGCTGCTTCTCAGATGGACCTTAAAACTAGAACACAGGGGTGCCCCAGGGGGAGGACAGAGCCTGAATATAGCTCACCCTCGTCCAGGAAGTGGTGAGCCAAGGTCCTTAGGAGCCCTGCTGGTCAGGAACAGAGGCTGTGAGCCATGTTTCCTTTAAAAAAATTTTTTAATGTTTTTGTTTATATTTAAGAGAGAGTACACACAGGTGAGGGAGGGACAGAGAGAGAGGGAGACACAGAATCTGAAGCAGTCTCCAGGCTCTGAGCTGTCAGCACAGAGCCCGACACAGGGCTAGAACTCATGAACTGCAAGATCATGACCCAAGCCAAAGTCGGACATTTAACCGACTGAGCCACCCAGGCGCCCTTAGCCATGTTTCCTTTAAAGACAGAAGCTGTCAGGGGCTCCTTGGGTGCCAGGAACGTCAGAGCCCTGGCCAGGCTCAGGGATCCCTGATCAGGAATTCATCAGAGCTGCGGCACACTCAGGAAGATTGGAAATGAAACAAAACAAATATACTGATGTAAGCTGTTCTCCAAAATGGCTCGCTGATGCCTGTTTACAAATCGCAGCCATGACTTAGCGTTCTCAGGAGACTGGATAATTAAACAGAAAACGCGCTATACTTATTTATGCGCTCACAAGACCCGATGGCTTCTCTGCGTTGCACGTATGCAGCTGGGTTTATGCTCAATGGCCATGGGCTGTGCTGCAGGGTGGAGGTGGGGTAAGGCAGCCATCAGGGATACCCCACCCACTCCGTCTGGCTTCCGCTGCATGGACAACCTGCGGGACACTCCTAGGCCCCCAGGGATGTACGGAGAGCAGCCTAGACAGTGGAGACCCATGTCAGTCCCTCTTCCTGAGGCTTTTTAGTAACCAGAGTGTAGTCGTTTAGACATGCCCTTCAAGTCTTATTCACTGAAGGGTCCATGAATATGATCATAATCTCCAATTCAGATCTAATGCCTAAGGAAGGGTTCGAGGGTTATCACTCAAGACAGAAACGGCACATCAAGGCTCGCAGCCTGCCCCACCTCAGGAAATATCACCGTATTATGCAAGAGGTCAAGCCCGGAGCACAGAAGGGGGTCACTCCTGACACCACTTTCACAGGGACTATTTCCAAGCCCCGTCCCTGCCTCCACTCTCCTTCCCCACCTCACTGCCTGCCTGTCCCTGAACTACTGCCCCAGCCTCCTAAATGGTGTCTCCTAAATGGATACCTCTCCTCCCCCACAGAGGCCCATTATTCACACAATGGCCTGGAGTAATCCTTCTAGCATGCAAATCAGATCACATCCCTCCCTGACTTAAGATCCTCCAATTGCCTTCCATCGCCTTAAATTAAAATCATCAAGTCTCCCATTAAGAAACAGTGGCTCTATGGGGTGCCTGGGTGGCTCAGACGGTTGGGCGGCCGACTTAGGCTCAGGTCATGATCACATGATTCGTGGGTTCGAGCCCCGCATCGGGCTCTGTGCTGACAGGTAGCTCAGAGCCTGGAGTCTGCTTCGGATTCTGTGTCTCCCTCTCTCTCTCTGAGCCTCCCCTGCTCACGCTGTCTCTCCTTCTCTCAGAAATAAATGAAAAACATTTAAGAAAAAAAAAAAAAAGAGGAGCTAGTACCCGCGCCTGGAATCGGGCCGCAACCTTAGCCGCGCCCGCCGTCTTCTCTGGACCATGGACCCCCGCAAAGTGAGCGAGCTTCGAGCCTTCGTGAAAATGTGCAAGCAGGATCCGAGCGTTCTGCACACCGAGGAAATGCGCTTCCTGCGGGAGTGGGTGGAGAGCAGGGGGGGTAAAATACCACCTGCTACTCATAAAACTAAATCAGAAGACAATATCAAGGAAGAAAAAACAGATAGTAAGAAGGCGGAGGAAAACATAAAGACAGACGAACCATCAAGTGAGGAAAGTGATCTAGAAATTGACAATGAAGGTGTGATTGAACCAGATACTGATGCCCCTCAAGAAATGGGAGATGAAAGTGTAGAGATAACCGAGGAAATGATGGATCAGGCAAATGATAAAAAAGTGGCTGCCATTGATGCCCTAAATGATGGAGAACTACAGAAAGCCATTGACTTGTTCACAGATGCCATCAAGCTGAATCCTCGCTTGGCCATTCTGTATGCCAAGAGAGCCAGTGTCTTCATCAAATTACAGAAGCCAAATGCTGCCATCCGAGACTGTGATAGAGCAATTGAAATAAATCCTGATTCTGCTCAGCCTTATAAGTGGCGAGGGAAAGCACACAGACTTCTGGGCCACTGGGAAGAAGCAGCGCATGATCTTGCCCTTGCTTGTAAACTGGATTATGATGAAGATGCTAGTGCAATGTTGAAAGAAGTTCAGCCAAGGGCCCAGAAAATTGCTGAACATCGGAGAAAGTATGAGCGAAAACGTGAAGAGCGAGAGATCAAAGAAAGAATAGAAAGGGTTAAGAAGGCTCGGGAAGAACATGAGAGAGCCCAGAGGGAGGAAGAAGCCAGACGACAGTCAGGAGCTCAGTATGGCTCTTTCCCAGGTGGCTTTCCTGGGGGAATGCCTGGTAATTTTCCTGGAGGCATGCCTGGAATGGCAGGGGGAATGCCTGGAATGGCAGGAATGCCTGGGCTCAATGAAATCCTTAGTGACCCAGAGGTTCTTGCAGCCATGCAGGATCCAGAAGTTATGGTGGCCTTCCAGGATGTGGCCCAGAACCCAGCAAATATGTCAAAATATCAGAGCAACCCAAAGGTTATGAATCTCATCAGTAAATTGTCAGCCAAATTTGGAGGTCAAGCATAATGCCCTTCTGACAAATAAAGCCCTTGCTGAAGGAAAAGCAACTTTGATCACCATTGGATGTCGCAATAATACAAACCAGTGTACCTCTGACCTTCTCATGGAGAAAGCTGGGGTGCTGTGAAGATAATCCCTACCCCTCTGCCCCACATGCAATGAGACATTTTACAGTGGTTTGCCATTAGGGTTTTCATTCAGATGATGTTTTCCTACTAGGAATTACAAACTTTAAACACTTTTTAAACCTNAAAAAAAAAAAAAAAAAAAAAAAAAAGAAACAGTGGCTCTGCCTGTTGTGCCCACCGGCGCAGTGCCTCTCTAACTACAGGGGTGTTGCACCCCCCCCACACCCCACATTGTTCCCCGTGCCTCAGGCACACTGGCTTTCTGCAGCTCCCAGAGCACTGTAAGCCCCCGTTCCACCTCTGGGCCTTTGCATGAGCTCCTTCTCTGACTAGGATGCCCTTCTCCTGTTCCTGGTCTCTCTCGTTTCTTCTCCTCTCAGGATCTCCACTGCCATGGCTTCTACTCAGAGAGACTTCTACCACCGCTCCCACTCACATCTCGTTAGGCCTCCTTGCTCTTCTCTCCCTTGGCATCTTTCCTTCCCATGCACAGCACATATTACCCTGGGTCATCGATTTACACATTCTCTCCAAGCATACACGAGACCCCTCTCCCTTGGACGCTAATAATGAAAGCAGTAGAAACAGCTGTGGGAAGAGAGAATAAGGCCTCTGGACAGAAGGGATTTAGAGGATTGGAACAGGAGTCAGATGTCCTCTTGTCAGAGGATGCTGAGGGTTCCTGACCTGAATGACAACCTCTCCAAGGTCCCTTCCACATCTCATTACAATTTCTTCTGTGGCAACACGAGAACCTACATTTCTTTGTCTTCTGAAGGGGTATGTGAGATCATCAACACCCAATGCTGTAGAGATTCAAAATCTTAGTAGCATGATGCAGCCAAGACCGATTTCTCACCCTCGTCAGGTCTGATGGGCTCAGGCAGCAACAAAGAGGCTGTGTTATTTGCTTTCACAAAATGCACGACCACATGGTGTCCATGAGAGAAGAGAAGAGAGCGTGGGTAATGACTGCATGAGTCAGAGCTCTCCAGAGAACCAGAAACCAACAGGAGTTATGGATGGATGCATGGACCGAGTGAGTAGTGTAAGGAATCGGCTCACAGGATCATGGAGACTAACATCCCAGCGTCTGTAGTTAGTAAGGTGGAGACCCAGGAGAGACATGCTATAAGGTCCATTCTAAAAGCCAGAAGGCTCAAGACCCAGGAAAAGATGATGTTTCATTTCAAGTCCAAAGGCAGGAAGAGACCCATGTCCCATCTTGAAGGCAATCAGGGAGAAGGAACTCAAAACACTAATACTCAGAACGCTAAATACTAATACTAGTAACAGTAAATGAATATAAGAATACTCAGCCTTTTTGTTCTACTCAGGTCTTCATTTGGTTGGATGAGGACCAAGGACATGAGGAAGGGCAATCTGCTTTAGTCAGTCAACTGATTCAAATGCTAATTCTATCCAGAAACATTCTCACAGACATGCCCAGAATGTTCGGCCAACTATCTGGGCGTCCCATGGCCCAGTCATGTGACCAATTAACCATCACAGTGATTTGGGGGTTGCGTGGTAAGGCATGTTCACTTCCCTCTGGTCAGAACCTGGCCACACCCTGACTCCAAGACAGGCTGGGAAATCATCTGAATGAGTGCTTAGGAACTGGAAAATGAACCGGCATCTGGGAACATATTGCGTGACACCCTCTTGCTGGTTGGGTAAAAGCTGTGTGCTCATCTCCACCAAGAGCTTGTCCAGGAATTTCCAGATCCAACCTTTGACATCTGTATGAATTTTTGCAAATTCTGAGTAACTACTATATAATTATACATTCCTTCCCCTAAAGTTACCAAAGGAATTGGCAGTTAAGATAGTTTGCTTTTACAAATACTTGAGCAGAGGCACTTCCATCATAGACTTGGCAGGGCACAGGGGAGATAGAGACAACCTGACTGAGACCACCTCAGGCACAGAAACCAGCCCGGGAGGGAGAGCTGGCTGCCATGCACCCTGCTGACTAGAAGACCCTGGGCTTACCTCCCCCAGCACTGAGCCCATGCTTCCAGTTGATGCCACTGCTAACGTGCCACCCCCATGGCAGTCCAGGGAACCCCGTGATGTCACAGCCCGCGGGCAATGAGCTCAGCCCTGACTTCCTGCTCCTCTGCACACACAGCAGTCACATTGTGGTTTAGTTTTTCCAAAGCCAGAAGGGTTTATTGGCCAGAGGATGCAAAACAGAGCCCTAGAACTCAAGAGGATGCCCAGGTAACCCTGTCCCTGCAGGGGCCCCTCCTGCAAAAAAAAAAAAAAAAGGTCAGGGGCACCTGCGTGGCTCAGTCAGCTAGGTGTCTGACTTCAGCTTGGATCATGATCTGCCCCACACCTATGCTGACAGCTCAGCACCTGGAGCCTGCTTCGGATTCTGTGTCTCCCTCTCTCTGCTCCTCCCCCACTCGTGCTCTGTCTCCCTCTCTCATAAATAAATAAACATTAATTTAAAAAAAAAAAAAAGAGAGAAAAGTTCACATCAGACAGGGGCTCCTTGGGAGTGAGTCATGGGTCTGTCTCCTGCGTCCACCCCTGCAGGACCTAGCACTGGGCACACAGGAAGGACTCTACCAAGAGAGGGCAGTCAGGCTCTGCAGGAGCCCAGGTCTCTCCACGGGGGTCTGTGGACAGGCTTCAGGTGCCTCCTCTCCCCACCCTGCACCTAACACTTGTCCTCCCTGCTAAGCCACAAGCTCCAGGTTAGCAGGCCCTGGGCTCGTTCTGCTTGCTAGCATATTCCCACTATATCCTGGCACATAGTAGGCGCTCAATAAACAATTACTGAATGAGCACCACCCGAATGGTTCCCTTGCTTAAAACTACTTATCAGGTCCCTTCGTTGTGCCAGGGATTGTATTAGGTACTCTGAGGATCCAAAAGAGATAATAGAGATGTGGTCTCTGTCTGCGCCTTACAAAGGGGTTTGTTTACACCGAAGAGCAGAGCTTCATAACTAAACTGCAAACAACACCAAGCAATGTAAGTCAGTTGAAAAAGTAAATTATTCCACAGGTCTGCCAGTAATTAACAAGTTTATTGCCATCCCCAAAATGAAGCAAGCAGGAGGGAATATGACAACGACAGAAAAATTGAATCAGATTATGCCTGAAGAAACAGGAAATTTTGGACGCATGCACGTCTGGCTGATCCAGAGACACCTGTGCAGTCCAGACATGCCTCGGTGCTCAAAACGTGTGCATCAGAATGAAAGGCCCTAACTAGGCAACCTGTCCCCAGCCCCCCAGCCTCAAAGTTTCAGCAGTTTCAGATGCGTGCAAGGAGCTCTGAGTGGCAGGCTCTGGTGGAGGGAACAGAGGAGAACAGGGCACCCTGAGCACCTTCATGCAGGGCAAGCCAAACCAGCCCTACTCTGTACATCCTGGTGAAGCTATCGGGTCCAGGAGGCGTTGAGCTGTTGCCTGTCCCCTACACGGTCAGGAGACCTGGGGCACGCACCCTTTGCCTTTGTTTCCGTTCCACCCACCAACTTCATGGTGTGACCTAGGTCACAGTGTGACCAGACAGGTCACGCACCTCCTGTGGCGGCTCCCAGGTCACCTTTCCAGAAGCACGTTAATTTACAGGAAGAACAGGGTGAGCAGAAGCTGCAGCTACAGAGGTGTGTCTGAGCGCCGGGCCAGGGGTCTCTCCAGGTTGTCCTGATTCCCAAGCAGGCTCCTGAGCCGGGGTTTGCCCTCCGAGGGCGTGTTCATATGTGGGCAGGTTGATTGAGCTTTTGACAGAGTCTTTCCACCAAGAGCATCATTGGAAAAATGGCAAATGTCCAGGTAGGAATGTGTTCCATTAGTGCATTTCTAACATAAGAAAACGAATGCGAACTTGGCAATAATTCGAGAAATTTAATTTCTATTGCTGTGAAGCACCAGAATCCTGCTTGAGAGGGTGCTGATGGTTTTATGAGTGTCTCATCGAGTTCAAGTCAGTGTGAGAAATAGCGCCTGAGATTAAGGAAAAGCTGTAATAGGAACTAAAACCCAGTTCTCCAGAGACTGAAATTTTATGGCCGCCTGCTTTCGGGAAGGGTGTTAGCTTGCTTACGGTGGGCCCATTAATCCCCCGTGGCCTCCTCTTCTCTCCAGGCTCCAAGGGACAGGGAGAGAATGTGCGCAGGGGGGAGGCTGAGAGCTGGTGTTCGCAACACGTTGTGTCTGGAAAAACACGGTGTTTTACTACTCTGGTTGGAAGGGCCTAGAGAGCGAGGCAGGTGTTTCCCAGGAGACGACTGGCATCCAGACCTGGCCTCGAGCCCACCTACTGTGTGCCAGGCACCGTGCTAGGCACCAGGACACCAAACAGCCCTAGGTTCACACTGCTGGACACGCAGCCTGGTTGGTACGCCAGGAAGGTGTGTCCCATACTAACCAAGCCATGCTGATGTTGACAGTAGATTCCGTGTGACCTGTGCCACTTCATCCCATGGGGAAACAAGGGGAAGCCACGGATATCAGAAGGCCTGGCCCACAGGGAGGCAGATGTCCCAAGCTGTGAGGAACCCCAAGCTGCCTTCCCTTCCTCTGATTCCCTATCAGGCGGCCTTCCAGTGCCAATTCTTTTTTTTTTAATGTTTATTTATTTATTTTGAGAGAGAAAGAGTGCACATGTGCACCTCTGCACATGGGGGGAGGCAGAGAGAGAGGGAGAAGGAGAATCCCAAGCAGGCTCCCGCTGGGCCCCTCCGGCCCGCAGCCCAGCCCTCCTTCACTGCCCCCATGCACTGGGGCACAGGGCAGATCTTGTTGCCTGGGCCCCCAGAAACCTCAGCGACCTTCCCAAAGAGTAGCCCATGGGTCCGCAGGTGGTGAGGCACCGTGGGAGCAGCAGAGCTACAGCCAGACACCAGGGAAAGACCCCTGGGTGGCCTCGCACAGGCGCTGCCCCGGACAGCTGCAGCGTGG